CAAGAAAACCCAACAGTGCCTAAAGGGACAAGATGGGCAGGCACATCAGAGCGTTGTCTCTGGATCATCCAGGTGAGACTTTAGAGACAGACCTGTGGTAGAATCAGTAGTTACTCAAGGCTGTTTGTTAGAGACCAGGATTTAGTCACTTGAAAAGGCCTAGAGTTAAGGATCACTGCCTTGCTGCCTTGGCAGCGCTGATGTTGTCCATAGCTGCCTTGGGGGGGAGGGTTCATATACCGCTCCCTTTAGAAACTGTGGCCAGAAACCTGCCTTGGTGCTGTCCTTCAGGTTTGGTTACAGGTTCCTGGAACCTAGTGAAGATTATGTCCTGCAGTTGCTGAGCAACTACTACTGTTTTCCAGATAATTAGATGTATAAGTGCAAGAATGCTTTGCCAGTTTCTTAATTTGGAGGGTGTGTGTGTGATCCCAGCTGGTTTGGGCCTGGAATAACTATGGGGGTGCAACCCCTAAAAGCAGTGTGGAGATGTGCACTCCCACCTGCCTGGCACACCTTTTCATACCTTATATCCTAGTCCATCTTTCCATAGGTATGCATGGCCTCAAAGCTGCAGATAAGCAGATCTGTCTACAGGGCTGTTCTGCCTGCAATATTGGAGTCAGGCAGGTAGATGCTGTTTATTGTTGTGGCTAGAAGGCCCTTGCCGTCCAGCATCCATGAGCTGGGCTTTTCTACTGACCTTATCTCTGATCTCATTTCCTCCCACTCTTCTCCTGACTGTGACCATTGTTCTGGGCGCCCACTTCTGACTCCCTGCCATCTTCTCCCTCCCTCTGTATCATGTGCTATGACAGAATGACCTTGCTGGCCGTACTTCCCAAGCTCTGCTCTCTTGCCAGCGATCTGGTGGTGCCACAGAAGTAACAGACAGTTACATCCCTCGGCAAGGAGGCTGTGTCTGCGAATACCTACAGGTGCCAGTGATACGAAGAGTACTTCTGTTTTAAAAGGCTCTTTTGGGGAAACTGAAGAACAAATAGAATTGAAGAACAAATGGAGGGGTGGGGGAACGTCCAGGAACTGAAGGAAGGAAGAAAATGGAGATGTGGTTCAAACACTCTAGCTAACTATCCTGTAACAAGCTTGCTGTTTCCCATACGGTGACCCAGTTAAAATGTACTTTTATACAGGGAAAGATGAATACAGCAACATAATTGGAATGCTGGCATTGGAATTCCTGAGCCCTTTGTATTGTGACCAGAAACTGTGGTCCAGTTTGACACTCAAGATCGGGACCATTGGGCTTGTGAGATCAATCCTAACTGGAGTTCACAGTCTGAAGCATAATCCTAGTAGTTAAAGAGTGTGGTTAGGGTCATTTGGGAAATGAACATACTAAATGCTGGGGGGGGGGGAGACCCCAAATCCTCATTCCATGTTCAAGAGTTTGGTCCCAGTCATTACAAACAGAACCAGGGGCTAAACCATGGGAATGACCTAGTTGGCTACAACATAGAGAATCTGGATACACTTTCTGGTACAAAAGGAAGGGAGGTGGACATTTCACATACGTTTTTCATCATATTTTTCATTGTAAAAGCCCTCCCATCTCCCCTGTCAGCTTAAGTAAATTCTTGCCTATCCATACTGCTCAAATTATAGCTTCGTAAATCATCTATATATCTAATAGCCAAGTTGCCCCCTCTGTGCGGATATCTAAATCCGCACATCGGGAGCACTTGGGGGGCAGGGAGATTTTCCTGCACACTTGGGGCAGTCCCTAGGTGTGCAGAAAAATCTAAAAAGTTGAAAAAAATATACGAGGGATACTTAAATCTCCCAAAACGTAAAAGCATTCTATGCGCATGCGCAGAGAACGCTCTGGCCATTGAGGGGGAGGCTCAACAGGCCCGGCGGCTCCCAGCTGCTCAGGCCTCGCCTCCAGTGCTGGGGAGGGAGCGGGAGAAGTCTCTGCATGCCCGCGCGACTCGCCGCTGGTGTGGGGAGGCGAGGCGGGCCCGGCGGCTGGGAGTCGCACAGGTGTCGATGCGGGGGGGGGTTGGGGGGGAGAAGGATTGGTGGGCTCGGGCCTCGCTGTCTGTGCAGGGGGGGCAGGGGAGAAGGCTCACCTGTGGCTTCTTCCTCCTCCTCCTCCACATGTAGCTTCTCCCCTCCCCACCCGCGAGTATTGCGGGTCCCGGCTTCTTGTCATATCTAATTCTGAACTGGACTGTATAGTGGGAATCCTTAGGTCCCTGAACAGACAAAATGTATTTCCAGAAACCGGAGAAAAACTCCAGGGTTGCGGAAAAATCTGACATCTTAAAAATGAGAAACGGGGGGGTTAATGCCCTCAAGCAGTAGAAGCAGCATATATAGCTTTAAGAAATGAATGTCCCCTGAGATCTCAGTGGCCTTTCTGAAGATTGCTATGCTACCACAATATTGGCATCAAACCTTGGTTTTTGTAGCAAAATACAGAAGGTATGGGGCAGGGCCCTTTCCAGTATTGGCTTCCCAGTCCACTTCTGATCGCTTGCCCCAGAGGGAGGACTTATAAAGGGCCAGCAGTAAGTACTGGCAACTTGCTACCACACAACTTTTGCAACTCACCTAAGTCTCGCAGTGACCACCTGCTGGCTTGCTGCTATGTGAGAGTGGCCACTGCACAAATTGCCTGGGCAACTTGCTCCCATACAATTTGCACAACTGACCTAGTTCCAATAGTGGCTACAGGATAATTTGATGCCACCCAACTTTCCTTGGTGCAGTGACAGCCACCATGTAACTTGAACCAACTTGGTTGGGCCCAGCAGCAGGCACTGCACAACTTACCTGAATTATTTACTGCTGCATGGCTTCTGCAACTTGGCTGGGCTTTTTCTAGTGAAAGGCTGCCAGGGGGAGGGAAGGAGAGAAAGCCGAGAGCCAGTGTAGTGTAATGGTTAGAGTGTTGAACTAGGGTCTGGGAGAGCCAGGTTTGAATCCTTACTCTGCCATGGAAATTCACTGGGTACCCTTGGGCCAGTCACATTGTTGTTGTTGTTGTTGTTCAGTCGCACAGTCGAGTCCGACTCTTTGCGACCCCATGAACCAGATCATACCAGGCCTTCCTGTCTTCCGCCGTCCTCTGAAGTTGGCCAGTCACATACTCTCTGCCTAACCTACTTCACCCTGCAAACTCACATATCTTAAAAGGAGAAAGGATATGGGGACTGCCAGGAGGAGGGAAATAGGGAATAGTTTGGGGAAGGGAATACAAAGGAAAAAGAGGTGTCCTCCAAGAACTTGTAGGCTCCTTGCTTGTTCAAGCTATATGATTAATAATTTCTAGAACAGATTTCAGTGTACCAAGTGCTATATTAGTTTATCTCTTTTCTTCCAAGAACTTTGTAAAATAAACTAAACTAGGCTGAAATGTGGTTTGCCCAAGGAAAGCTAGTGAGCCTTGTGGCTGAACTGGGGATTTGAACTTTCTGAAGGGGGAGGAAAAATGGTGAGTAGGAGGCAGGCATTACAGTCCATGATGGACAGGGAGTTGTGCAAAAGAAAGATTATCCCACCTCCAGATAAATGAAAACCTCATTTGACCCTGACTCCCAAATCAACTTTCACATGTTTCACTTCTGCCTGAGAAAAGCTGAAACCTTGCATCCGTGTCACTCCCTCTCCCTATTTACTACTCTGACAAGAAACTGGTTTGAGCTGCTGAGATTGACTCAGAAGTGGACATTTTCTATGATTCAGACATTGCCCATATTTTAGACAGCCCCTACCTACTGAGCTTACGGACACCTGTCTTCCCTCCCCTGCTCAGCTTGCCAACCTCCAGGTGGGGCCTGGAGATCTCCCACAATTACAATTGAACTCCAGGCAACAAAGATCTGTTCCCCTGGAGAAAATGGCTGCTTTGGAGGGTGGAGTCCTTGGCACTGTACCCTGCTGAGACCTCTCCCCAGGCTCTGCCACCCCAGGCTCCAGGTATTTCCATCTAAAGCTGGCAACTCTACTCGGGCCTGATTTTTATCCCCCTCTCTTCCATCACCTCCCCATGCAACACACGCATATATCAATTGATTTTAAAAGTTCAGTCACATTTCAGTAACTCAAAGAATTGGAGGACCTCACTAGAGCTGGACTGGGGGAGAGGCTACTTTTTCAGAGTTTTGGGGTGGTGGTGGTGGAATTAGATGTAAAGAGAGCCAGGTTGTGGTGGTGGGGAATGGCTCATTCAGCTTCTAATTAAAATGTGTGGGGGAGGAGTGAAAGTCAGGGTGGGCTGAGGAGGAGGCCAAGATGAACTTTTGAGAGGGTCAGAGCTGCTGGTAGATCTCTCCATTGTTTGGAAGAGTAGTAGAGTGTTTAGATGATCTGTTTACAACTTTCTAGAGATGAATCTAGTTGGATCCATGGCGTATGCCTTTTGCATATTATTAGGAGCGTTAGTACAAACGGGAGATAAAATCGGGATGCTCTTTCTTTGCAAGGAGTCTATGTCCTGATGAAATGAAGCTGAGGCGGGGGCGGACATCGCTTACATTTAACTCCCCTAATCTTTTATCTCTCCCCCCCCCCACTTCTCCCCCGGTCTAAAAACAAACCTGCGCTTTCCACTCCTCTCGGTTTGGGAGCTAGCTCCGTCTTCTCTGATTGGTCAGAGCGGGGCGCAGCCCCAACCAACGAGCTGCGAGCTGGGCTTCTCCTTGAATGAAGTGTGTGTAATTTGTGAGTTGTTGTGCGTAAGTGAAACTGATCAAAGCGCCACGGCTGGTGTTCTTGGCTCAAGGGGAGAAACTTGCCACATTGGGGGCGAGCGACTGAGCCAAAGAAGAAGCGACCGGGGCCCACGTTCGTAGGCAGGGAGTTTTTAATAAAATAGACAACCGCACCGTCTCTTCGGAAAACGAGGGAAGTCAGGTGGCTCTCATCGATCACCCCCCCCTTCTCCATCCCGAAGTAGGATGTCATAGCCTACACATTCGCCGCCACATGCCAGAGGGATCCAAGTCTTTTTTAAAGAAGACGACTGTTCAACAATGAAGCGTATCCAGCTCCGAATGTGTTTGCCTTGGCTGGTTTTTTTCCTGTGGAGTTTACAGACCGCAGCCTCTCAAGCAGGTAAGTGACTGACTCTGCCGACTGAAAGTAACAACCCCCCCCCCCCCCCGCGCGCCCTGGGGTGGAATCGAGAGTAGAAACTGACCTTTACAATAACACGCTCGAGAGTCTGTTTAGCCCCAAACAGGACCTTAAGCGCTGGCTGTTTGATCATGATGAGATAGATACAACGTATAAAATCTGTCCCCTTGAAACCGGAGTCCCTGTACGGCGGCGGCTCCTCTTTTTTTCTCCGCCGTGGGGAGGGAAATCGTGCAACAGTTTCGCGCTGGGAAGCGACGCCTTTGAACCTGTGCGCCGTCGCGGCTGCTGCTGAGCGGCAGAACCTGTTTGGACACCCCGGCAACCCCCCCCCCCCCCCCGCTTTCTCGGCGCGCTTTAAAGCCACCGCTTTAAAGGGAGGGAGGGTGTGCGAGTGTGTTTCTGTGTCTTCCAGCTGGACGGTTTATTTTCGCAATTTGTCCTGGTTTCGGCGTGAAAGCGGCGCGCTGATTGTGGGGTTTGATGGAAAGGTGCGTGTGCGCGCGCCTCCCAGAAGCCTCAAAGGAAGGGCACCTGAAGCCGAAAGTCAAACTTTATGGAATCTGTAAAATGTTGTTCCTCCTGCTACGTTGTCGAGAAAAAGGGCTGGGTTTCGGAGTCAGCTCTCAGGAGGGAACTTCTTACAAAGATATGGTCCTAGCCCGAGTGGTAGGTCCAGGGTTTACTCTGAGCCGCGCTTCAGACAGGACTTGTTTTCCTAGTGTTCAAGCCTGGCACGTATGAGGAATGAAAATAAATCAGTGCCTCTGACCATGTGCAGACTGCATCTCTCCACCCAAGGCGTACCTACACCACACACCTGGTTCCCTCAGGATTTTATTGAGAGTGGCAATGTTTTCCTGTTGTTGTAGAGCCAGCCCACCCAATTTTAGGAGGGATACCTACAGCGTTTTACCTGTAATGCAAACAGTGTGATGTGTGTACTTAGTAAACAGGTATTTTCAACAGTATGTATGATGGGACACAAATCCCACAGAACTAGGAAGGGCCTCACCTTCACGATTCACACACAGATGGTAGGAGAAAGAAACCCATTTTGTTAACCACTTGCCTGGGAGGAAGATGGGCTTAGAGATATTTTAAAAGAGAGAAATAAAAATAAACAATAACATGACCCTGCATTGGGCAACAGAAACAAATTATTCATTCCCTAGAAATAACTGCAGGGCAGACAGGAATTCAACAGAGAAAGCTTTCCTTGGTTAAATCTCCATGTTGTGAATCTGTTAAGTGCACCCAGTCTTACCTGGAATAATGTAGCATCCTGAGAGGCTGGAGAAAATAGGGAAAAGGGTACCTCTACACAAATAACAGCTTTTGGGCTTTTGAGTGAGACTCATTCAACTCCCTGATATCCTTTTATAGCCCTTTTGTGTTGGTGGTTTAAGAAGTGATAAAGGGGTGAGTTTATCCCACCCTTCTAACACAGGTTTATGGGTGGAATGGAGGGGGGCTGAATCCATTGTATCAGTTGTGGCTAAATTCAAGGACAGGAGCTATTCTGGCCTCATTAACAGAGGATAGGAGGGTGTGATCTTGTTTACGCACTGCTCCAGTCACTAATATGGATTAGAATCCTTACTCCACCCATATCAAAGGAACGGGGGGGGGGAGACTCTTGGGGTGGTGGTTGGGGGAGAACCCTCTGGGGGGGAAATGTCCTCCAGAAAGGGTGTCTGAAGTTTCTGGCTTGCTTTCAGTCATTTTTTTGACCATGCAGTGCTTACTCAAATTCCCAATTAACTTTTAGCACCATTTTCAGGTTGGAAATGTCTTTTTTCTTTTTCTTTAAATACACCAACTATGCATTCGTAAGCAGAGTTGCACCTTTCGGAATCCACTGGACTTAGCAGGGTGAACTCAACATAGTATTGTGCTGTTAGAAGCGCCCCAGGGGAACGATGTAGCCCATGAATGGAATCTGGTTTTCTTCATTTTATGGGATCTAGTGGGCCAGAATGGGGGAGGACCCCGCAGTGACTCCTGCCGCCTTTCCTTCTGCTGCTGAACTACTGCAGAGGAGAAGGAAGGGGGAAGCGCGCGTTCCCTGTTAGTGGCTGGTCCCTCTTCATTCCTGCAGTCTGGCAGATTTCCTTCTATGCCTTGGCAGGAAGGTTCCAAGTGCAAAGATTAAACGCCAGCCGAGGGAGTGAAGGATTTGATTTGCAAAGGGCCAAGTCCACACAGCCCTATCTCGTTTCGTAGTTTTTGAAGCCAACAGACTTTGATAAGTGGAGAAGTTCCTTAAATGAGTGCTGTTCCAAAGGTTAACTTCTCCCATTAGGATGCTGGTAATTAAGGATACCTTGCACTGCGTGAGAGAGCTAGAATAAACAACTGTTTGTAAGGGGGAGTCAAAGTACAATTAGCTGCCCTTCTTTTTATTTATGTACTTATTAACACCCTGCTTGTTTCCCCAATAGAATCCAAAGCGTCTTGCCTCCTTCTTTGCTCCTGCATTTTTATCTTCACTACAGCTCCATGAGGTGGTTTAGGCTGGGAGTGTGTGACTGGCCCAAGGTCACCCAGCAAGCCTCCATGGCACAGTGGGGATCTGAACATGGGCCTTCCATATCCTAGTTCAACACTTTAACCACTATACCACACTGTTTTTATAGATTTTGGGCATATCCTAGTTCAACACTTTAACCACTATACCACACTGTTTTTGTAGATTTTGGGCATAAAGGGAAAAGAAGTGTTACTTCTGTATTCCTTGCAGTGGTCTGAATCCAAAACATAAAGCTTCTACTTTCCTGAGATAGATTGTGAACAAAGTCCTTGGCAGCACTTATCTTCACCAGCTCCCCTGTATCTTCACAGTTTTCTGGAAAAGAGTTATTGTAGTATATTCTAGATCACTGCAGATGGTGACTGCAGCCATGAAATTAAGAGACGCCTGCTCCTTGGGAGGAAAGTTATGGTAAACCTAGACAGCATTATAAAAAGTAGAGACATCACCCTGCCAACAAAAGTCTGTATGGTCAAAGCAATGGTATTCCCAGTTGTAATGTATGGCTGCAAGAGTTGGACCATAAGGAAGGCCGAGTGCCGAAGAATAGACGCATTTGAATTATGGTGCTGGAGAAGACTCTTGAGAGTCCCTTGGACTGCAGGGAGAGCTAATCAGTCAATCCTAAAGGAAATCAACCCTGACTGTTCCCTGGAAGGCCAGATCCTGAAGCTGAAGCTCAAATACTTTGGCCACCAAATGAGAAGGGAGCACTCACTGTAGAAGACTCTGATTCTGGGAAAGATTGATGGTCAAAGAAGGGGACGGCAAAGGATGGACGGCAAAGGATGAGATGGTGTGATGTGGTCCATGGGGCCGTGAAGAGTCGGACTCGACTGTGCGATTGAACAGCAACAACAAAGACTAGAGAATAGATAAGGAGACTGCAGGGCAGTCCCGAATACAGGCGGTAGAGGGACAGTGGTACAGTTAGGTACCATTCAAATAAATGGCCATATGAGTGCCATCCTAAGAGCCTACATCATGACACAGAGGTTAGAGCGTCAGACTAGAATCTGGGAAACCCAGGTCTGAATCTTCACTCTGCCACGGAAGGTCACTGGGGTGGCCAGCCACTCTCACCTAACGTACCTCACAGAGTAGTTGTGAGAATGAAATGAAAGAGGGAAGAACAAGCTTGTAAGCTGCTTTGGGATTTCCCTTGGGGGAAAAGCAGGTGTAAATATCTAAGGAACTAAATACATTACAGCTGGTAATGTACACTTCTAATGCAAAGCTGTAGCTTGCTTTTGGGGTCTGCCTGTAAGCTGTAGTCTCAAACATCCTCCCTCGAGTCCAGCCCCAGTGGTGGAGCCATTATGGAGGGAGAAACTGAGAAGACTAGCCCCCCCCTCCCCTGGCACCATTTGATAATAAAACCGTGATTGAAGTATTCCCCCCTGCAGTGATTAAAAAGAATGAAATTCTAACTTCACTTAACAATTAATGAAATTATATTTCCGTTGTTAAGGTCTTTCTTAAGAAGGAAGGAAAGAAAAACATGCAGCATACAATAAGGACCAAAAGCCTAGCATCCTCTGCAAACAGGATATACACACAAGGCAAGGAGAGCCCAAGCAGAAAGGACATCTCTTGGGATGAAAGCAAGGAGTGACAAGAGAAGAGGCTGAATTTCAGCACTTGCCATTCATGTGATGTGGTTTATCACTTCTACATCAGCCTATTTGTTTACTGAAGGCATCTCATGTATGGTGAAAGAGGGCTTGGGTAGGGTCATTTGGCACACCCAGCATCTATGAGTCACATAACACCATGCACAGCCATTATAACCCTTTCTGTCTTTTTTTTTGGGGGGGTGTGTCTCTTACAGTAAATATACCCTGACCTGGATGGTCCAGGTTAGCTCGATCTCATCAAACCTTGAGAAGCTAAGCAGGGTCAATCCTGGGAGACCACCAAGGAATACCAGGGCTGGTATGCAGAGGCAGCACAATGGCAAACCACCTCTGAATGTCTCTTGCCTTGAAAACCCCATGAGGGGTCACCATAAGTCAGTTACTTTCCACCACCACCTTACTACAAGAAGAAGAAGAAGAAGAAGAAGAAGAGATTGGATTTATACCCCGCCCTTCACTTGGAGTCTCATAGCAGCTTACAAACTCCTTTCTCTTCCCCTCCCCACAACAGACACCCTGTGAGGTGGGTGGGGCTGAGAGAGCTCTGACACAAACTGCTGTTTCAGGAACAGCTGTGCCAGAGCTTGTGACTGACCCAAGGTCACATCAGCAGGTGCAAGTGGAGGAGTGGGGAATCAAACCCGGTTCTCCCAGATTAGAGTCCGCACACTTAACCACTACACCAAACTGGTGTAGAAGAAGAAGAACAAGAAGAACAAGAGGAAGAGGAAGAGGAAGAAGAAGAGGAAGAAGAAGAGGAAGAAGAAGAAGATCGTGGATTATACCCCGCCCTTCATTCAGAGTCTCAG